AGTGTCTCTCAGCTATTTTAGACTCCTCTATTGAGAATTCTCTATTTAGTTCTCTATTTATTTTTTAATGGGATTATTTGGTGTTTTGGCGACTAACTTCTTGAATTCTTTGTAAATTTTGGAAATCAGCCCTTTGTCAGGTGTGGGGGTTGATGAATATCTATTCCATTCTGTGGGCTGCTGTTTTGTGTTGTTGACTGTGTCCTTTGCCTTAAAGAAGCTTCTCGGTTTCAGGAGGTCCCGTTTATTAATTGTCAATCTCAGTGTCTGTGCTACTGGTGTTATGTTCAGGAAGCTGTATCCTGTACCAGTTCATTCAAGGGTACCTCCCACTTTCTCTTCTAAGAGGTACAGTTTGGCTGCATTTATGTTGAGGTCTTAGATCCATTTGGACTTAAGTTTTGTGCATGGCAATAGATGGATCTCTCTGCCGTCTTCTACATGCCAGCATCCAGTTATGCCAGCACCATTTGTTGAAGATGCTTTCTTCTTCCGTTGTATAATTTTAGCTTCTTTGTCAAAAATCAGTTGTTTGTAGGTGTGTGGATTAGTATCAGGGTTTTCAATTTGATGCCTTTGGTCTATTTGTCTATTTTTATGCCAATACCAAGCTGTTTTCATGACTATAGCTCTATAATAGAGGTTGAAATCAGGCATTGTGATGCCTCTGGAAGCTCCTTTATTGTACAGAGTTGTTTTGGCTATCCTGGGTCTTTTGTTTTTCCATATAAAGTTGATTATTATTCTTTCAAGGTCTGTGAAGAATTGTGCCGGTAATTTGATGGGGATTGCAATGAATCGCTAGATTGCTTTTGGTAAGATTGCCATTTTTACTATGTTGATCCTGCTTATCCAAGAGCATGATGGATCTTTCCATTTTCTGGTATCTTCTCTAATTCCTTTCTTTAAAGACTCAAAGTTTTTGCTATACAGGTCTTTCACTTTTTTGGTTGGCGTTATCCCAAGATATTTTATGTTGTTTGTGGCTATTTTAAGGGGTGATGTTTCTCTGATTTCTTTCTCAGTCCATTTGTCATCTGTATATAGTTTCTTGAAGTGATTAATTCATCAATTTTCAGTGAGCTAACTTCTGGTTCCATATTGAAATTTACTGAACAAAAAATTTAAAAAATTAAAACCATACCCTTGCTCCTGTCATTCATAACTGTTGCTACAGATAATGTAATAGCATGGTGCCCCTGCCTTCTGTGTGCTTAGATTAATAGTGACCACTGAAGAAGGCTGACAATCAGGAAAGGAATGTGGTGTTTTGTGGAGGATGCTTAAAGGGGTTTTCTGTGAAGGGACTTTTAGAAGGAAGACCTCAGAGAGAAAAAGAAAGGGCTATCTGGATGTTGTCATATTTCATTACTGTGGCATACCTGAGACCATTGGCTTATTGGGATAAAAAAGAATATTTGGCCTCAGAGTTGCTGGGATTCCAGTCATGATCCATTTGGTCCACTTGCTTTGGGATCTTTGTCAAGATAGCCCATCATGGCGGAGAGCACATGATGGAGGAAAGCTGTTCACCTCCATGCTTTGAAGTGACAGAGAAAGAAGATGGGGCTAGAATTCCTTCATCCCATCCCAGGATATGTTCTTAGTGACATAAAGATTCTCTTACCTCTCAGTACTGCCTGTCATTGGGGACCAAGCCTTTACTAACTGGTCCTTTAGGGACCTTACAGATTCAACTCATTGCAAGAGAAGTGAACAGACCTTCAGAGGATTTTTCTCAGTCCCCAGCTAATGTGGCAGGAACCAAATAAGCAGGGGCCTAACCATATCAGGAACCTGTCCCTGTAGGGTCACAGTGGATGAGCTCAATGTGGTAGCAGCCATAGGGACAATTACTAGGTAAATACAAGTGTTTCACATGCAAATGGAGAAAGTCATCTTGCCCAAAGGCTTGTAGCTTCATGGGGATCTAAGTGAGATTTGATGCCAGGCATTTCTAACTAGAGGTCATTGCTTTTCTCCTGTAACCCATCAGAGAGGAACTTGCTTATGGGGCTATGTTCTCAACATCCAAAACTCCAAAGGATGCAGTGAGCCATTGCTTTGCAGTGTGGATTTTCAATTGGAGTTGCTCAGATGGATCTTTGTTAACAGTTTCCTTAGCTGAGGGTGGACTTCATGCTATTCCTAACTCTTATGGAGAACATACTGAATTGGATTCTGATCGTTTGCAAGGCAAAGTCATCTGCTTTAACACTACCTAGTGATAATATCTATCTACATAGTTCTTATTCTTCCATTTGCATGTTTGTATGTACTGTGCATGTGTATACATGCATGTTTGTATATGGGGTGGCATGCACATGAGGGGTATGAATGCATTTGGAGGTCTGAGGTATTCATTGAGATGGTGCCTCTCAACCAGACCTTTATTATGTGACTAGTCTGGCTAGCTAGTTTGCTCTGAGAGCTCCTGTTTCTATCTTATGAGGCTGGGATCACAGGTGGCCAGTTCTTTAACCTTTGAGCAATCTCCCTAGCCTCATGTAGTTCTTTTTATTGGGCAGCTGTATTTTCTTCAGCAATCACGGACATATGTGTGTATCTGCACTGTGTGTATATGTGTGTGCGTATCAGCACTCTAGCGTCTTAGAAATCCTCGTTGAACTTGAAGACGAGTGGGAAAAACCATGCGAAAGAAAATTCAGTATTGGGTGCTTTTACAAATTTAACTGCTGCTTGTTTCCAGGCTGAATTGAACTCTGGCTGGAAGGCATGTTCTGGTTATATTCACAGTCACAAAATGCATTCTGTTATGCAGCAAATGACAGCATAGCTCTGGGGTTTTCCCCACTAGTCAAAATGAAAAGAACCAACTGAAATGCTATTGCCTGATAATAAATGCTTCACATGCTACTGCAACCAGCTCTAATTAGATTTATTTTTAAACTCAGTTTTTACATTGTACTGATGGCAAACGGAAAAATTAGATGATTGTTTTAATGCAGGAAACAAAATGTACCACAACAGTCTGCATTGCCTTGTTGTTCCATTTTAACCTAGGTTCAAATGTACCTCTTATTGGTGACAGTCAGAGCTCTTGGAACAAAGCTCAGTGCCACCTAGGATAAAGTGGGTTACATACTAACAGCATAATACATTTGTCTCTGTTTTGGCAGGAGTGTAAGTAGTCATGTTTGTATACATGTATGGGAAGGTGTGTGTGTGTGTGTGTGTGTGGGTGTGTGTGTGTGAGAGAGAGAGAGAGACAGAGAGACAGAGAGACAGAGAGACAGAGAGACTACATGTCCAGAAGTCATACATGTATGAGTACATGTAATTGCCAGAAGTGGAACCAGAAACTCACCAGTTTGGCTGGAATAAGCTCCAGGGATCTGCCTGTCTTTGCGTTCCAGTTCCGAGAACCTGACTTGTTATGTAGGTCCTGGGACTTGAGCACAGATCTTTATATTTGTGTAGCAAGCACTTTGCCGATGCAGCCATATCCCTATCTCTGAAAGGTTTATTCTCCTCAGAGGTTATGAGGGTATATCTACCCCAGCCAATATTTTCCCGAATAGCCTTCTGTCTCCTCTTTTATGTTGACTGATTTCCACCTAAAGTAGACATGGTGGTAGGAGTGCTTGTCTCCCATCTTAGAACTATTTTTCTCACTCTCTATTGTATTTTGCCACCACACATGTAGTATGTACCTTCATCATGATGTGACTAGTTTTCCTTTTTCTGGACTTGGGTAAACTTGAGAAGAAGTGGTACCATGTAATGTTCCTGCCTGTCTGTATTCTTAGCATCCCATGGAGCTGCCACAGATGGTCACTTTGTGGAATTTCACACCTGATATCCTGTTTCCTTCTTCATGCTGTTGAATGTATATGGGTATCAGGATCTTGGAGTATGGTAGAGATGTGAATGTTAACAATTAATCATGCAGGCATGGTGACACATTCCTGGAGTTCTGGTACTTGGGAGGTAGAAGCAGGATGCTCAGAGTTAGACATCAGCTTTGGCTACATGAGACGCTGTCTCCAAAACACACACACACACACACACACACACACAACACACACACACACACACACACACACACACAAAATGAGTAAATCATGACTTACTTAGTGAGAGGCCAGGGCCCAGAGGTTTAAGTCCTTGGCACATTGAGAATTACTAGGAATAACTCTTTTCTCTAGAACCTGCTCCTTTGACTCTTAGTGTACAAATATCTGGGCATTCTGGCAACTTCGCTGTAGGTAATTGCCACATAATTATTTTCTTGGACTTAATACTTGGAAATGGGGGTGTTATTTAAAGACGTATTTGAAGACATATGATACTAGATGATGTTAAATACTCCAGACTACTGATCAAAACACATACCCAAGAACACTATCAAATTAAATGCCCCTAAGTTGAGAGACTGTCAGCTTCCAGAAACTTCTTACACTCCTTAGAGGTGTCTGAAGTCTCCACCACAGTGTTAGCCCAAATATATTGTTTGCTTCATTAGTTACCTTAAAAAGTATAAAATTAATATTTATGTTCGACTAGTATTTGAGGGGCTATGCACAGGAATGTTTGTGGAGACAAGAAGAGGGTGCTGGATCTCTTAAGAGTGGAAATCGCAAGCAGTTTGAGCTGCTAGACATGGGTGCTGGGAACCAAATATAGCCCCCAAGAGCTACTGAGCCATCTTTCCAGACTCCAGTACGGGTCTTAAAAACAGAGTGAAGAACTCAGAACCCCAGTGAAGAACTGTGCTGTTGGAGAATAATGACCTGAAGAGCTTTGAGCATCAGGCACTCCCGCCAGTGAGCAGTTTCCAAATTCCAAGCAAGGGTGGCTAGGTTTTATATTTTCTGGTTGGTGAGTTAGTTCCATGTTGTCTCAGAGTGTTTTACTAGACTTCATCAGAGCCCTTCATTTAATGAGATGTAAGGCAAAAACCTCTTGTCAACACATTCTTGTCCAACTCAACAGGAATGGATACAATTGTGGTTGATTTGGCATCTTCCTTCCCACAGGTTCTTAGCATGATAATCAATGCAGCCTACAAGCCTGGGAGGGTATTGAGAGAATTGCAACTGGTGGAAGACCCCCACTGGAATTTTCAGGAGGAGACACTCAAGGCAAAGTAAGTATTCTTAATTCTGGGACACAGAGGGTTTGCAATGTTTTCCCTGATGTTTCGAAACTTCTCATTCCTTGATTTGATATTACCCCGATGAACAAAAACGAGTAGCAGGTCTGCTGTATCACACCTCCATGTACTACAGGTAGACTTACTGTCTGGATTAGTTTTCATTGTCTCCATGACGAAATACTTAATGAAAGCAACTTAGGGGGCCAAGGTTTATTTTTCCTCATGGCTTCAAGGAGTTCAGTCCATGCTCAGATGGCTCCATTTCTACTTCTGTGTTGAGACAGAACAGCATGACGGTGGGAAGTGTGGCTGAGATTATTCATGTCACAGTGGACAGGAAGCCAAGCAGAAGAGGAATGAGGTGATTAGGTATAATCTTCCAAGACACTTCCCCAGTGACCTATTTGTGTCAGCTTGTTACCACCTTCTAAAGACTCTGCCAGCTCTTAAAATAGAACTGTCAGCTAAGGACCAGATGTTTAATAGAAGGGCCTTAGAGGGACATTTCACATATAAACTGTAACAGCGATATTTCTGCTATATTGAGCTGCCTTAAGCATTAAAATTGCAAATATGAAATGCAGATTTGCTTAACTAATATTTTGTGCATGTGTTTTTATGTATATGTGTGCACTGTATATGTGCAAGTGTATGTTTGTGTATTAATTATGCAGTTATGTATGGAGGCCAAAGAGCACACTTATGATATTTGGGAGACAGGGTCTCCCATTTTCTTAGAGTTTGCCACATAGGTGAGGCTTAATGAGCAACAAGCCCCAGGTACCTTCCTGTTTCTTCATTCCCACTTTAAGGACTATAAGTCACCACATCTGGCTTCTTTAAATGGGTTTTAGGGCTTGAACTTGGGTCCTTGTGCTTGCAAGGCAGGCATTTTACTGATTGAGTCATCTCCCCAGCTAAACATTCAGGGGAAAAAACTTATCTGTGTTTATAAGCCAATAAATGACTTAGAGAGGAGAAAAACATACATAGCAGGGATGTCCTTTGCCATTATTGCAGATATTTGTTAATAGTCTTCAATATTTGCCGTTATGACCTGTTAGTCCCAGATAAAAAGTTCTCTGCCTTAGGGTGGAAAAAAGTTAGAAATAGAAGAAACGGATACATGTCTTTGGCTTGCATTAAGTAGAATGGCAACAAGCTCTGGGTCCACATATTGGCTGACTTTCTTCTTTTATTTGGAAATTGAGAAGGTGGCAAGTTTTGTTTCATGTAAAGTCTTTCTCTTTTTATTTTGTGTGTGTGTGTGTGTGTGTGTGTGTGTGTGTGTGTGTGTGTGTGTAGGAGGTTTTTTAAAGTCAGGGCCTCTGTTAGTCAACCCAGCTTTTAAAATTTTTAGTTTGTGACAAGTCTCACTAAGGTGCCCAGACTACCCATTCTTGCTATGTTTCTTAGGAGACCTTGAGCTTGAGACCTCCTGCCTCAGCTTCTTGTGTAGTTGGGGTTGCAGGCAGGTGCCAACACATCTGGCTTACATTGCATTTCTCCATCTCTGAAAAGGAGAACAGGATCCTTGACACTGTTCTTGGTCATGCTCAATATTGCTTAGTGTCTGAGAGGGTTCTTAGTCTTTTGTGGGTTCCCATATTGCCATATAGATAGCCAAGACGGTCTTAGACTCCTGATCCTCCTCTCCTGCTCATACCTCCCAAGTGCTGGCTTTACAGGTGTGCACCAATACATCTAGTTTAATTATGGGGATGGAAGCCAGGGCCTCATGCATAATTTGTAAATGGCTAGTATAATTTCCTCTGTTAATAACCTTTCCTGGTACCATTATGTGGCTGGTGAAACAGTTTAGAGTCAGCTACCTACCCCACATCTCTGGTGTCTCTTTAGATCAGCCCTGTGGTCTTCAGTTCCATAAAGGTCATTTATGGTCTAACGATGCCCTGCCCAATCACAAGGGGAAGGGAATGAAGGACTGTATGGAGAGGGTTTAATTTTACAAAGCATAAAGCCAATGACAGGCAAAATTACATGCCATCACCCCAAGAAACTCTTACAGGAGCTTCTCCCACAGCACAGAAGAAACAAAGCAGTTTTTTCCCTTTTAATTTTCCATATTCCATGTTCTATAAGGTTCTGCCCTGACAGAATTTTTTTCCCAGAGTCCTGATAGGCTAATGCCAGAAGACTCCAGTCAGTGTTTACACAGAGAAATCCTTACTTTTCACTTTTGAATTTTTCTGTACCACTTACTATAACCCAGAGACACCTAACAGTTATGGAAATAACCAGAACACAAACGTCCCAAGTCTCATTAAAAGCACCGCTCTTCCTAAATCAGCCAGAAACTTATTCCATGACAGAAAGTGTTCATTTTGCAAGTGTTTGCACTTATTTCCATGTAACTGAGTCTATGGGAGCTTTTATTGAATTCAGGCTGGTAGAATTGAAACAGACACCTTGCTTTCCATTCTGCTCAATTACAAAGGCAACATATTACCTCTTTTATCAAGGATGGCAGTGAGGTCCTCTGCAAAACCTTGCACAGCATCTTCTCAGGAGGAAATGCCTGTCTGCACGGGGTTTCTCCTGGCCTGATCATAGCAGCCCCTCTAAGCAGCTGCTAATGATGACAGCTTTGCAGTCAGCAGGAGCCTGGTGGTGACAGTTCTGTGTGTTGTGTCACCTCTTTCCTTCTCATGGCAAATGACAACTTTCTAGGCCCTGACAACTTGGCTCGGCTTTTCTTTATGCAAATGGAAGGAGACTGGAGAGTGAGCTAGCTTCTTCCTCTGTATTGAAAGGCAGGAGTGGCCTGTATTGTGAATGAATTAACTTAGCAGAGGTTAGACCTGATGTTTGAGATTGTAGTTGTCTTTGTTGCCTGAGCTGAACTGTAATGCTATAGTGTCTTTGGGAGTTGAGGGCCTGTGATAGCCCCCAGGTAAATGTTTGATGTCACTTGGCCTCTGTGGTTGCTCACTGTTTTGCTTTTCTTTTCTTCTAAAAATATTTTTAGCATACATTAGCTATATATAATAACTAGTTTTATTAGGACATTTCCCTTCATGGAATAAGGCATTTTCCTCCGTTACCCTTGTTTATCTCCAGCCCATTGCACACATCCTGTTTCTTCTCCCCAACTAGTTGTTCTTCTAGTTCATCTCCCCATCCTCCTGGTCATCTTCTTTGTGGTCCTGCTCCTCCTGGTCCTCCGCGTCTTGGTCCTCTCCCTCTTGTCCTCCTCCTGCTTCATGACCCAGTGTGTTTCATTAGTATTTCATAAAGTCACATAGGTAGAAGTGTTTACAGAAGTTTGAACGACTTACCGGTGGCTATTCCACAGAGTGAAGCCTTCCCCTCGCTCATTTGCTGTTTTTCTCCTCGTCGTCCTCGTCCTCGTCCTCGTCCTCCTCCTCCTCCTCGTCCTCCTCGTCCTCCTCCTCCTCCTCTTCTTCTTCTTCTATTGGAGGATGGTATTTTCCTCAAAGAGTAAATATGTATTTTTTGCTTCACAAGATAAGTGTGCCTTTCAGGAAATTTTGACCTGTAAATAAAACAAAAGCCAGCATGATCACATACATTAGTCTACTGGTGTTTCCCATACGTTTTCATCAGTTCTACCTTTCACACCACTAAGGAAAGGGATGCAGGGTTTGGGCAACTGTAAGACGTGTGCCCTGTCGTTGTTCCTCAGCATGTGTCTGAAAACTGGATCGCCTGCGCTGACAAAGGGAAAAGCATGCTGGCATCGTTCATTGCAGCCGTTTTGTAATGGAAAAATTTCCTTCTGATAAATGTCAGTATTCCAAGCTACCTGTGTCATTCTGAATTTTAAGATGGGGGAAATTTTACTCTCTCCTTTAGGATAAGACAGTTTCTTTCTATCTTACCTCTTCTTTGAGCCTGTATTAGGGAAGCCGGGGAGACGATCTACAGATTTTTTTCCAGGCTCTTATGGCAACTTTGTTCTGCTTCGCTGTCATGTGGGCAGAGGCGGCAAGGCTAAGTCGGAGCTTGTTTTAGTTGTGTGTGTGAGCTGTGTTAGTCATGGAGTTCTCATCTCTCCCACGCTGGTGGCTGCCTCTGTGATCCTCACTTTCTCCCTCCTCTCCCTCTTTAGCCATGTCACAGCTTTCTATGTTATGAGCAGAAGGATGTCATCCTGGGGGGTTTGTGTGAAAAAGGATTCCCAAATAGAGAGTCTGATCACTGGGAGGGAGTTCTTGCTCTCATTTCTTATTTTGTTTACCTGCATCAGAGAAGCACAATTTGCACTCCTGAAATATACCTGCAACTGCCTGGTTGAGGAGCTTGCTCCATGGGGGGGGGGGTGTTAGTCAGGTGTTAGTAGTAAATGAGTCAGCCGTATAGCTTGAGACTCTTGCTTAATGAGCTTGGGGCCATGGGTTTCGATCATAGCAGTATGTGTGTGTCCCAGTGTGTGTCACTGTGTGTATCACAGTGCATGTTGCATCTGGGAAATGGGGTTTCAAAGCATAAGACTGTGCGAGCGGTTCTCTGTGATTTGGTTGTACTAGGCTCTTGCTTTGCTGATAGACTCTGGAATTTGCTTTGTGTTGGCCCGGAGGAATCAATCCTCTTGCCCAAGTTCTCTGATGCCAGCCAGAGGTGCCTGTAGCTTTCTGAAGGCAGCACCTCCATGGCAGGCGTGGCAATAAATCCAGATTCCTGTCCCGCCCGCCATGCCTGCAGCACCTTCAGTCCCATTTGCAGCTCCTGCCTCTGACGGCAGGAAACCTGCTGTAAATACACAGTAAGAAGTAGCTTTGGGCAAGAAGGACTTCCTTTGCCTCACAACCTCAGGGCAGAGTCCATCATGGTGGAAAGCATGCTCTAGCTGTGCTGACAAGACATGGGTGACTGGTCACTTAGGATCTACAGTAGGGAAGCAGAGACATTGATGCTGGTCTCAGCTGACTTCCCGCCTTCCCCCTTTTCATTCAGTTTAGGACCACAGCCTAAGGGATGGTACCGTCTGTATTCACAGTGGGCCTTCTTTCTTTAGCCTTTCTGGAAACATCCTCACAGATACACACAGGGCAGTGTCTTCTAGTTGATTTGAATCCAGTTGACAGTGAGTTGACAATGAATATCCGCCATCGCACCTGCAATTGCTAACTGCAGTACATTATTTGATCAGATGCCAACACCACCTCAGTAGCCTCCCTCCCTCCGCCTGTGTTAGTCTCACATGCAGATGGCCTCCTTACCACCACCCCCACTGCAGCCTCTCCTATCCCAGGACAGTGCCTCCCCGGTGGATTGTATTAAAGAGAACAGCACCTTTGGTCGGGAGGGGAGGTGCGATTCGGCAGATGGTTAGCGACCTTCAGGGACACCAGTCAGTGGTGGCTCGTGGACAGCTCTGGGATTAAAGAGGCCATCTTGATTGCCCTGAGCCCGGTCACCAAGCCTTTTGTGCTTCCTCCACAGTCACTAGCTAGATGGGAGCTGTCCTGGAAAAAGCCAAAGCAAGGCAGTTTTGGGAAGTTGAGTCACACCCTAAATGAGCCGTGGCTGACTCTGTGTGCCTGCAGTACCCTGCCCCGGAGTCAGGAACGTCAGACTCTGGAGGAACAGTGTCTTGCTATGTTACAGCACTCTACCCAGACACTACACCTTGCTCAGTCCCTCCACCACCGTGGAATCTACATAGCCATGTGAAAGAAAGCCATCATTATTTGACTGTGATTTAATTCTCATTTCAGTATATTTAAGTGGACCTTTCCTAATTATGGGAGAGTTTAGTAAAGCTCTTGCTTTGTTATAAGACAATACAATGACATATGTATATGGTTGCCATAATGAAGCCCGTTACTTTGTGTGCAAACTGTAAAAGTTAATAAGACAAAGGAAAGGGCTACTGTTTCAACTGAATCGGCCTGAAGTAGGAAGGGAAATAAATGATTTCCCCATGGCCACAGCAAGCAGCCCTGCTCTCTCCGTGTCTCTTGATGCACTTTGTCACTGTGGGTTTCCGACACGCACATGCTTTGTCTTTGAGTTCCCCTTACACAGTTTGGCATCTGACCTGGATTTCACATTTTTCCTGCTTTTTGTGTGTCATATTATTTCATTTCTTATTTCAAAGAGACTTTAAGATTCTTGATATCAAGTTCTTTCAAGCAGAGCTGCAGGGCCACAAACAGGGAAAAGAAAAGACTTACAAGGGAAAAACGTACCTGCAAAAAAATTACATCCTCTGTTTTCCGCAAACCTGGGGATATACGTGTTCTCAGAGTGGGGCTATTCTTGTCACGAAATTCAGCAACAGTAGAAAGTGAGACCTTCACCCTGCAAAGTGCATCCCCGCAGCATCCCCAGGCGCAGAGAGAAGTTCTCTCTATAGAGGGTTCATGACGGTTCTAGGGGGGAAAAATCAACATTGACGCAAAGCTGTTAGATTTAAAGTATCATTTTGTCTACAAAGCATTGATTTGAGTCTTACCATACAGAAAGGCAACCTCAAACATCAGAGGAATTGAAGACCAAGGAGGGTAGAGGCCATAGGACAAGAAAGTCCCGAGGATAAATACAAAGTATCTTTTACAGTTATAGTTTAATTTTTTTTCTGTCAAGACTTTGAAAAATGACTTATTAGGGAAAACATACTATAGAATTCAGCATGGGACTGATCAAGACCCCCTGAATCTGGGTGTCAGTGAGGAGGCCTAGGTAATCTATTGAGCCTTGGACAGCAGATCAGTACCCATCCCAAGTATACACACGGTCTCCGGACTCCCATAGAACAATGTGAGGTGCACTCTCACCCTGAACACTTGGGGAAGGGTCTAGGCCCTGCCCTATATGAAATGACAGACTATGGACACCCCCATGGAGGGCCTCACCCTCCCTGGGGGAATGAGGGGATAACAGGGGGGGGATGGGGGGGAGGGCACGGGAGGAGGGGAGGGAAAGGGAGAGGGACCTCGTACTGACTTGTGAAGCAACCTTGTTTCTTATCTAAATTTAAAATGGAAAATAAAAAAAATATTATTAAAAAAAAAGAATTCAGAAGGACATTAATTTTTAAAAATCAAGATGGAATCTATTAAGTAGTACTTTTCTTTCTTGTTATTTCTCCAGCGCGTTTTTCTTTGTGATCCAGATCAAGGTTTTAGAGATTGATTTTATTATCTTTATATGTGTGTGTGGTGGTGGATGTGGTAATGTGTGCACATGAGCAGGTGCCCACACAGACCGAGGCGTCTGTCCCCCCGGGAATGGAGTTATAAGGGGGTGTGAGTTGCCTGAGGACACTGGGAACTGAACTATGTTCCCTGTGAGAGCAACACTCACCCCTAATGGCTGAGCTGTCTCTCTAGCCCTGGATCAAGTCTTTTAAACAGTGTTTTACCTTCTGATTTTGAACATGATGGTCTCTTTATCTTATTATTTGAGCTTGTCCTCTGAGTGCTGTGACCTTGTCCATGTGAGACTTGGGTCCCCAGTGAACTATTGATTGTGCACACATCCAGAAAAGGGTTAGTTGTCCTTCTTTGGGGCTAGCAAACTATACCTATGGTGGACAGGAGAGTTGATGACTTCTCCAGCAGCAGTTTTATGTGTGGAACCACCTGTCTCTCTGCCAGCCTGGAGAGAGACAGAGAGGGTTACCCTAATGGCCAGGGTATGGTGAAGGGCTTTGCTATTCTGTATGGATCCCTGGACACTTCTACCATACAGAAGCCCGTCCCCGTCACTGTGGTAGCTTGCTTGTGGCCAGTTTTGCTTCTGTGGGAACTAAAGCTGCTGGCATCCCCAGTTCCAGGACCTCCGGGTGGAAGACTGATTTCACACGGCTGCACGACAGGGTTTTGCTTGTTTTGACTTTTCTTATAAAATATTTTGTGTTTCTCTCCTCTTGATTGTGACCTTGCTTGCCTGTCACTATGCTGCACAGATGCCATCTGTGAATAATAGGAATGTCTCCCATTTCAACAACATGCAGTGCCATCTTGACAAAGATGCCATTTCAATGATCTGGCTTTGCATAGTTTTCCAGAGTACATTCATGATCCAGTATGCACGGATACTTAAAAATAACAAACAAACTACCCCTTCGATCTCATTAGCTTCATTCTGAGGATCATGACCATTAGATATGTCCTATGCTATACTGTGACATACTAAGCTTAGCTATGAGGCTCCATGTAACATGGTGAGAGCCTGCTACGTCGAAATCTCTACTACAGGAGATTTAATACTGTTACTCTACTCTTTGTGCCCACTAGAGGGTAATTCTCCAACATTCCCAGGGAGATTATAAGGAAGTATAAAAGGAAAAAAGAAGCCACGCACAGTACACTATGTTATTAGAAAATAGAGATGTCTATTTGGGAATGTACTTGTGCTGGTCTGGTTTTGCTGTTTCTGTCGCTGTGACAAAATGCCTGAGCTGAGGAAAACAAGGGAAGACACACTGTTTTGGGCTCAGTGCTTCAGGGGTTTCATGGCAGAGCCCCGTGGTGGGCAGCGGATGGGAGAACAGAGGTTCTCACCTCATGGAAACTGTGTGAAGCAGAGCCATCAAGAGGGACTAGGGGCGAGAGATGCCTTTCAGAGGCACACCCCATGACTCATTTTCTTCAGCTAGGCCCCACTCCCGAAGTCTCCACCTTCTCTCAACAATGCCATCGACTTATGAATCCCCAAAACTCCAAGGCTGGCAGCCATACATACATCTAACACCTTTGGGGAACAACCCAGATTTATCCCTTAACAACACTGTGTCCCTAACCCTTGGCCTGTGGGCTGTGTGCATCCTAGGAGAGTTACCAATGAGGCCCAACAGAGTCACAAACTTACTTGTAACATATGATTTTTTTAAAAACATGTATTTATTTCTATTTTATGAATATGGGTATTTTGCTTATGTGTACTTCTGTGCTCCATGTGCCTACAATGCCCTTGGAGGCCAGAAGAGGGGGGTAAGATCCACTAGAACAGTAGTTACAGAAAGCTGGCAGCCATCTTGTGGGTTTCTAGGAACCTAACTCCAGACCTCTGGAAGTACAGCCAATGCTCGTAACTACTAACCCATCTCTTTAGACCATCATGCCATGCCATTTAAAAAAGGAACTTTTGTTAGTAACTCCATGTTTAGTTCTCATGCGTAAGCTTTGGAGGTGACATCACAACATCAAAAGGTTAGACATGCCTTTGAGTCTAACAGAGTGCGTCTGGAAATGAACTCACCATTCCTTCTCCATCCTTTGTTTTCTAGGTACAGAGGCAAAACATACAGGGCTGTGGTGAAGATCGTACGGACCTCAGACCAAGTATCAAATTTCTGCCGGCGCGTTTGTGCCAAACTGGAATGCTGTCCAAATTTATTCAGTCCCGTGTTGATTTCTGAAAACTGCCCAGAGAACTGTTCTGTTCACACCAAAACCAAATACAGTGAGTACCGAGGAAGAGAAAATCACACAGCACACCTGAGCTGTGTTGTGGTATATTTGTTCTGTTGTTGTTTGTTTTGCTTTTAACTCTTTGCATAGCTTTTCACCTGAATAACTGGAGAACTCTTTAAGATCTGCTGTGCAGGTCCATATGTGTTTTTAACCTGATATAAGAAAGGGCTGGGATGGTTCAAGCATGGTGAATTACCTACCATTAGATGGCTTTGGGAATGGAGAAGTGAGAATTTCAGAGGACCAACTGGTTCCTAAGTCATGTGGGCGAAAGGAAGTGATAAATTGATTATTAGTAATGCTTAGGAACTCTAATTAGTCAACTTCTTGTCCTTACCCAGGATTTCTAGCACTACTTTTTTTGGTTTTGTTTGTTTGTTTGCTGGTTGGCTTGTTTTGTTTCTGAGACATGGTCTTTCATTTTGTAACCCAGATTGGCCTAAAAGTCACTATGTAACACAGGCTGCTTTCATACCCACAGAGCTCCTCCTGCCTCTACCCTTTTGTGTTGGAATTGTAGATATGAGCCACGGTGCTGGCTCCCATAGCAGGAAAGTCTCTGGGCAGTTTTCTTACTATGCTGACCCTGTTGGTTTCTTCCTGCTTAGACACATCCCTCAGTGCTCTCTCAGGCATATACCTGGAGGATTCAGAAACCATCTCACTTCCCTCCCGGCTGCCTTTGCTTCCCCACTGCTCTGCAGGACTCTGAGTTGGCCCCACTTTCCCAACCTACAGTGCTTGCCACTGCCAACCCCCATGCCCACCCAGTGCATTGAAAGACCTCTCTGTAGATTGACAGCTTCCCTCAGCCCTGCATTTCCTCTATTCTCATAATTTCTTCTTCCACTCTGGTAGGCTTCCCCACTGCAGAAGCCTCTACCCAGGTCATCTCAGGCTCTGAAAACTCCAGTCTACAGTTTCTGAGCTTGTTATTCTCCCCATAGTTTTCTCTGGTTCCAGGGCAGTGACAAGGACATTGGCTCTGTCAGACCAGGTCCCAGCCTCCTACTACAGTTTAAGGACCCACACAGTGTAATCGATGCTCTGTGAGCCACCTGTGACATAACAACTGCTTTGTTGGAACCAGGGTTTTGAGTATAGTTGACATAGTTATAAGTATACTCAAGATACCGCTCACAGTATGGTTCTATTCTATACAACATTGGCAGACAGACAGACAGACAGACACATTCAGATGTACTTGACAAATTAACCTTCCACTCCCAGGCCTTCTAAGTGTCAGAAGGTCATCTGTTCTCTCTATTATATCCCTATGCCTTTCCACTTGCATATTTAGTCCCGGCTGAGATAGATGATTGCATAGAAGCTAGTCTTGCACAGGCTAGACAAGCATTCTGCTACTGAGTTACATCCCCAGACCTTGGTGTTTTGACACACGGTGTCTTAGCTTTTTTTCCTTGTTGGTGTGACTGATTAGACACTGTGACATGGACAACTTAAGCAGGAAAGGGTTTATTTTTGCTCACACTTCCAAGTCACATCCACCATAGCAAGAGCGTTACAGTGTCAGGAGCTAGAGAGAGGTGGTCATGATGCATCTGTAATCAGAAATATAAAGCATGCGGTACATGCTAGTGCTCAGCTTGCTAGCCCATTGTACTACAGTCCAGGATCCCAAGCAGGGAATGGCTCTGCCCACAGTTGGGGCATCTTCCCCCCTCAATTAAGTCAAGATAACCCCCCACTTGCAAGTTCACGGGCCCTTCTCAGGTTATGCTAGATTCTGTCAAGTCGACCATTAACCCTAACCATTACATAGACTGTCCCTTTGTGAATTAGGCTGGCCTTGAACTTAAAATTTTTTTTTGAGATACCTTAACTCTCTATAGCGTACTGTATCCCAGGATATTCACATCTCCCTGCTCATTTCTCCATCTCCTTACCTTTGACCAGTGGAAGGGTTTGCTGGGTAGCAACTACTCCTGAAAGTGACTTGACTGACTGGCTTGACTGAGTTGTTTTGAAAGTTGACCTTGCAAATATAGTTTCCTATAGTCCCAGGACACTGGGCAAAGGGTGGGGAGTAGGAATTGCGACCTGCAAACGAAAGCGAACTGAAAGATGATTCCGGGCCTTATTTCATGAAACTTCAAAAGGCTTATACCCTTCAGCATGAATATTTATGTCACTGGAAACTGAGCTCCAGCCATTGGATAGATTTGTGACTATAGAGGATGGGATCTCCCTATGGCTCTATGATGTGCCAATGGTTGGTTGTACTCAATAAGACCATCTTCCTCCCTGTAGCCTATTACTATGGAAAACGAAAGAAGATCATTAAACCCCCCATTGGGGAAAGCAGCATTGAAACCGGGCATCCAAAACCAGCCAGGAGAAGGAAACGACGGAAATCTGTCTTTGTGCAGAAGAGACGGAGAGCTTCTGCTGTGGACTTCCCAACAGGCTCCGGGGAGGTATGCTGTCCTTAAAGGGCTTCCAGCCTTGGAGGAGGAGTGTTTGTTTGGCTTTAATTTCTCTCTCTCTCTCTCTCTCTCTCTCTCTCTCTCTCTCTCTCTCTGTATACAAACATGCCAGCACGGGAGGATGAGAAGTCAACCTCAGTTGTCATTCCTCAGGGCAAGCTTCACCTGGGGTCTTGGTTTTGTTTTCTTTGTTTTTGAGGTAGGGTTTCTTGCTTTTATTTGGAACTCCTCATTTTGGCTAAGCTGGTTGGCCAGCAAGTCCCAGGGATTCACCTGCCTCCACCTCCTCAAGGCCAGCTATTCCACCTGGCTTCTGAGGGTCAAGTTGAGGTCCTTGCATTTGCATGATAAGCGCTTTACCTGTTGAACCATCTCCTCAGCCCCTGACTTGTTATGCTTTTGAGAGATGGTCTCAGTGTGTGCTCTAGGCTGGCCTCAAATTCACTAACCTTTTGCCTCATCTTCCTGAGTCCTGGAATAGGAACCTGGAACAAGACACTCCCCATAAGCCCTTTAGTGTAGTGATAATCAATTGCACATGTTCAGCTACTGTTAGCAAAAGGCAGTGTTAGGAGATTCTTTGGTACGATGGACTCTCTTTCAAGGCCTCCATGGACAAACCTTGCCAAGAGCTATGTTCTGGAAAGAAAAGTCAAGCGGCATCAGGGCCTGGCAACGGGGCTGTTGGTGAGAGTCACCTTACTATGCTCACTCAAGTGTCTGTCAATCCACCCCCACTAAGCACATCCCTCCCTCTCAGGAAAGCGAAGAGGAGGATGCCGATGCCTTGGAGGATGACACTGCCAGTGAGGAAACTGGTTCCGAGGTCCGAGATGACCAGACAGACACCTCATCAGCAGAGGTGCCCTCTGCCCGGCCCCGGAGGGCTGCCACCCTGAGGAACAGCTCAGAGGCTGTGAAGCGGCCTCCAGTGGAGAGAGCACGGAGGGTCCGTCCAGTGCCAACCACTGCATCTGCTGATGAAGGAGACAAGGGTCCACCTGCTAAGCCTGAGGTACCAGAGGTAAGCTCAGGGAGTGGAGTAGAGCTCAGGGTGTGGTTCAGAAAAAACTCTTTAAAATATCAGAAATCACCGTAGATACTCTGTCCAAATTCCCAAGTCCGAGAACAAAAGAATGAATTTACCTCTTGGTTGAGACGGGTGAAGAAACATCAGAAAGAAGTTTCTAGGGCTGGAATAGTGTCTTCATTTCTGGATGGCGTTAATCCCCCAGAGCTTCTAGTCAGGTAGGCAGAGAAGGTCCAGTCCTCCAGTTGTGGTCCCAAAATGCCGTCTCTATATCTCTCATTTCCACACTTGAATTCTGTATCACTTTCTCCTCTATGGGACATGTCTGTAACATCCTAGTACATTAAATCAGCAAACTTGACACCCCCTAACCCTATAGGTGCTTGTGAACACACTACAAAGGTCCTTGGCACCATCTTAACGAAGTGAATGGTGACAGTGAGCTGTACTGCATGGGTCTGTCTGGACTCCTTAGTATCTACTTGCATTTTAGTCGATGATGCTTCCTTAGTAACCATGCCCTATATTTTCCAAACGAGGCATTCAAGGTTGACAGTCACTATGCCATGGGGTGGACAGGTATGCATGTTCATCAATGTGCTTAGAGGTCAGGGGTCAATCTCAGATGTCATTTCTTAGGAGCCATCTGCTCTTCAGTCTTTCTTCTTTTATTTTTATGTCTTTTGTTTTTCATTTTATTTCATGCCTAGAGCTTAGCAGTTTAGGCTGATTGGCCAGCAAGTCCCAGAATCCTCCTGCTTCCACTTCCCCAGTGCTTTTCTGTTTGTTGCCTGTTTTTTTATCTTTTATGTGTGATCTGGGTATTGAACTTAAGTCATTATGGTTGCATGACAAGCATTCTGCCGTCGTCTCCCAGCCCTGCTGTAGGCTCTGTTGTTACTGTTTTTGAGCCTTTGAAGATACTCAGGCCATTGCAGGTTAGAAGCCACCAAAGACAGGTTGCTAAGAAACTCCATAGAGACTGAGCTCTGTGACTGTCTGTGTGTCCTGTGAGAGACCAAGAGAGGTAGGAGTTCTGGTTCCACAGTGTGCTTGAGGCGTGCAGGTTATTAGAAAGTTGTAGCTGGCCATGAAGTGTGTGGTGACAACCCTCTGCCCCCTTCTCTGCAGGAAACAAAGCAAGAGGAGGAAGAAAGGTTGATTCTTGAGAGTAATCCACTGGAGTGGACGGTCACAGACGTGGTACGATTCATCAAGCTGACAGACTGTGCGCCCTTGGCCAAGATCTTTCAGGAGCAGGTACAGTGGCTTGATATGTCATTAGTTTGTTTTCTGGACTCCAGGTTTTGTCTCTCTGTGTTTATATGTTTGTGTATAAGTATATGTGTGTTCATGTGTGTGCACTTACATGCATTTGTGTGTGTGCATGTATGTGCATGTAATTGTGAAGCCCTGAGGACACCACAGGGTGTCATTCCTCAGATGATATCATCTTTTTGAGACAGGTTCACTCACTGGCTTGGAACTCACTAAGTAGGCTAGGCTGACTGGTAAGTGAGTCTCAGAGACCCACTTGTCTCTGCCTTGCCCCCAAGTGCTGGGATTATAAGCATGTACCAGGGACACCTAGCTTTGTAAAAGTGAGTTCTGGTGATCAGATCCTTATACTCCCAAGGCAACTACTGTACTGACTGAGCTGCCTTCCTAGCCCAGAGACTAGGTCCTAAAGGAACTACTTATCTTGTCTGGCTTCTTCATGACTTACCAGGTAGGAGTAAAGCCTCAGGTGCCCTTCATCTGCTTGCTACAGTTGATACCTACAAATGGGCTCATCCATGGTGCAAGACTGATATGAGAGTCTTGTTTCTGGTTCGTAATTGTCTCAGAGGGATGAGAGTTTTCTGACCGAGACATACCTGGTACTGCCAGGTGAGGCGTGGACGTCTAGGCCCTGCCCCCTCATTCACAGGTACCAGTTGTGCTGTTGCTGCGATGAAATACCCACCCAAAGCAACCTGGAGAGCAAGAGTTTATTTCATCTTACAGCTTACAGTATTTCATGAAGTGTTGTCAGGGAAGGAGGTCAAGGTGGGAACCCAGAGGCCAGAGCTGAGGCAGAGGCACGATGGGTCTTGCTTGCTGGCCATCTTGCTTGTTTAGCGTGTTCAGCTCAGGGGACCTTCTTTCTACCCAGGGTTACCTACCCAGGGGTGGTACTACCCCAGTGGACTGGGCTCTCCTATATCAATAGTTAATCTACGAAAATCCTCAAAAACTTGCCTACAGGTCAGCATGATGGGGACATTTTCTCAGTGGAGGCTTCCTCTTCCCAAATGACATCAGCTTATGTTTAGTTGACAAAACAAAACAAAAAAACTACCCAGCACAACATCACAGAGCAAATATGTCTTTTAAGGCATAATATTACTTAAATACTGCTTTCCATATAGTTGATTCAAGATATGCCTGTCTAGTGTGTTTTTAGATTTAACAAGCCAATAATTAGGGAAGATAAATTTTAAACATTAAGTAAGAAAAAAAGTCTGGTTTCCCAATCATACAGGGAATTTTCTATCTTTTGGTACAAGTTAATGCAGTAATATGTTATAAAAAAGCAAATCATTGAGCATCCTAGTCCTCTGACTCCTACTCAAAGGAGTGTAGTTCTTGGTATACAAGCTCTCCCGCCTTGATATCCATGAGACAAAGTGGTTAATCTCATTCATTCTGGAAACTTCTGCAGACTCCAGAGAAGGTTATGTAGAAAGCATGAACAGGAGCCAGACAGAAGGTCTGGCCCTTAGCTTTCTGGCATTCACTGCTCTTCTTCTCTGGGTACAGACAGGGAGGCAGACAAGGAGACGCGCTTTCTGATCTAAAAATGAGGGTAATGGACCCGTTGCCTTCATTGCATCAAACAGGCACAAAGATGAAATGGCAAACAGTGCTGTAGCTTAGCATAGCTTAATGATAAAACTGCATCTCTGTCTTAGAAACAAACACAAAACTATAGTTAGTAAACTCAGCATTTTCCAAGTCTGGTACTTAGGCATAGTGGTATCGCCAAAAATTGACCATAAACAAAGCAGAAACCTGTTATGTTCAAGTATACGACAAATTCTGTCTATGTAGTTTTAAGTGCATCACCAAGTATATGTTGATCCACGTGTACTGACAAAACACCTGCTATATGCTTCATAAAGTCCAAAACGTGGCAATGAGATGACATTCATAAAATTGCATTTTATTTTGGCTTAGGCTATTGCCAATGTTCCATGCTCATTTTAGAAACATTCTGTTGTGAGCAGAATAAAGGATAGATTTTTGTCACTTTTAGATTCTAAGTTAGGTGGGAACTCAGCAATATGTATAGCATGGATGGTTACCAGGCTCTTGTGTTGATACCTTGAGCAAATTTTCAGTGAGAAGCTGGCTTCTGTCGGAGGTGTGGGGGGGGATTAGGTGAAACACTGCTCTTAACATTCCCCCTTTATCTCACTGCTAAGCCAAGTTTCCAACAATATTTCAGAAAGTTTCAAGGAAATGAACATTGCTGGTATACCCCCACTGTAGATTCAGAGTGGACAGAGGTTTCCTCCACCCGCCTCCTCTGCCATCAGCTAAAAGCTTTGTCCTTGATTTAGACGTTAGGTGTGCTTTAATGTATGAGTCTTGTTCCCAATTAATTTTGCATTTCACATTAGGGATTTTCAACTGTTAAAAAAAGTGTTGCCTGCTGAGCTGCCTAAGTGTGTGGACACTTGAGTCCTTTCTGGCCCATTAGACTTTTAATGACTTATTTTTACTAATTTGTTCTATCATCATTTTGCCCAAATGACAGCACTCTGATTGGGTGAGGCCTCCGGCATTTTCTAAGCTGTCACACGAACTAGGTGCCTGCAGATTATTCCCTGGCCGGTACAGAAGATCACAGTGTACAGAATGATAATAGCTGTGCACATTCACGCCCAGAGATGTTAGAAATGCAGAGACAGTGCTAATAATCACCAGGAGCGACTGCAGACATTACACATTCTGCATTACCAGCATCCGTACCTTTTACTTCTGAAATGCTGTGGCAGTCTCTTAGTAAAATCTATTCTCTATAATTTCATGCTGCAAATGTGAACATTATAGAGTGAAAGTCCATGCATCTGTAATGTGTTTTCCAACACACACCCCTGAATAGCACTGTCTGTGTGCTCGCTCATTGCCGATTACAATCTGTTCACAGGAGAAGCAGACTGCTTGAATGAGTCGTTTATTTTACGAAAACTTCAAGGGATCGTTGACAATTTTAGTTGTCTTTGAGGCTTTCTTCTTCTCATTGGCCCACGTGTTTGTTCATTATCATCCCAATTTACAGAAGATAAAATTTAACTTTATTCAGTCCGTGGTCATGTGGGCCTGCTGTTTCCAAGCTCCTGTGGCTGTGTCATCAAGAAGTGTTGTGGTGAAGCAGAACCACACACTTAATGGTGATAGGAAAGCAAAGACAGGACCAAGGCCAAGGCAAGTCCTCGGTGACTTATCCAGTGATCCATCTAGGTCAGGTCTTGGTCCTCAGGATCAGGTCACTATCCTAAAGCATTAGCACAGTAGTGTTTAGGTGTGAACCTTTAATTTATGTTCTCACTACACAGATAACTCCATTAAAGAACTACCACATCCTAATCTGAACTCTGTCCAAGTCACTATCAATTTTCCCATGTCCTTAGTGTGCCTTTCGTGTTATATATCATGTCATATCTTATTCCTTCAAAATGTTCTGCAATTATGGTGAGTCTGCTTAATTTTCATGTGTATTTTATCTGAGTCCACCTCCTTAAAATTATCCATCCATTAGTGATCTGTTTAATATAACAACTTATCTGCCAGCATTTATTAATGATACAGGAGCATATTTATAAAAATTCAGTCAACTGTAAGTCTGGTGTGTAATCTACCCAATCCATGAAAAAAAAAACAAAAGCAAACTTCTTCCAGACTGAACCAAAGATTACCTCTGAGATACTTGGTACAGGGAAATTCCCCACTCATTCTACTCATTCTTCTATGCTTTACAATGTCATATCTGTGTCCCCTTTGCCCAGCCTTTTCCTGTTTACCCCTTTCTCTTTGCTACCCCACTATGAAGATGCAACAAGCATTGACTATGTGGAATCCACAGTGAGAGTGAGTCCAAAATAAAGATTAGCCTAGGGTTAGTCTTTGCACAAGGGTGACAGCAAGATGACTTAGTTGCCAAACCTAGCTGTTTTTAACAGGCAGGCAGCATGGAAATTAGAGGCCCAGTTGTATTCTGAGCAGCATGATCTTCTCAAAATCACGACTCCCATCATTTAGGGAGAATGAGAATGAATTGAGAGCACAGAAGTAGCAATCATGGGCCCTCAGGTGGCTCAAATATGGACAGACAGCATTTTAAGCACTTCCCACCTCTAGATATCGGGCCTAGTTTTGGATGAACTTTTCCCAGATAGAAACGAAGGTGAAGGATTGCTAGTTAATCAGATTGATTAGCCTTAACCCTTTCCTCCACACAACTTCTTGTACAGGGTTTTTTTTTTTTGGTTCAGCTTAGCCACAGATGTCCAAAGATTGTTTCTGTGGAACTCAGATACGCCAGTCCCTAGAGAGTTCCAAAGTGGTGGCCTCTGTCTGCTTCTTTTCCAAGTTGCCAACCTTGACAGTCACACCAGGCAGTATGGAGTCTTTCTCACACTCCAACCCATGACTTCAAAGCTAACCCCTCTGTAATCTTGGGGCTCCATCACTGCTTCTGGCTGAGTAGGAGAGGGGAGCTGAATGTTTCTTCTCTCTGTTCTCCTGGGAGGAAGTCTAGGAGCAGGAGGAGTGGCTATGTGCTGGGCCCTGACAGGAGAGGCATTTGATTTGAAAAGGTCACAGAATGACATTTCAAGGTCCTTGACATCATTTTTAAGTGGTTTCATCTGGTCTGCATGGCGTCTATGAGATCTGCCATTCTCCTTAATGCTATGACCCCAGGGTGGCCTTTACCACCACATTGCACAACAAGCTATGGGATCCTGTCCCGGAGACAGGATGAAAGAGCATAGCATGTCTTTGAAGAATTAGGCTGACTGCCCGTATCTTCTTTGTAAGGTCACTGTAGAATCAGTTTGTGAATTGTTTCCTCATCCATGACTTTTATTTTTCTTATGTGTGTATGTATATGCTTATGCATTCATGTATACATGTGCACATGTTTGTATGGAGGCCAGAGGTCAACATCTGGTATCTTCCTCATTCTTCACTTTATTTTCAAAAATTCTTTT